TTCATTTTTAAATTTAAAAAAAAAAAATCTTGGCCGCGGGCGGCGGCCGAAACGCGGCTTCGAGCCGCGTAGACGGCCGCACTCCGCGGCATAATATGGGGAGGCCGCGTAGTACCGCCACAATTACGGCGCGGCCTTAAGAAAAATTAATTTTCGTGTAAAATTAAAAAAAAAAATACCTGGTTATTCCTTAAACTTTTGCCGCGTCCGGCCATGTTTTTTGGAACTTTTTTCGAATTTTTTTCCGCGTCCTTAAGATTTTTTTCGAAATATGTTGAAAATTGTTTTTTTTTTGTAATGTGAAGTGAGAGATGCGAGAGAGAGTGAGGGAAAAAAGGGGGGAGGGCGCGTGCGGTTTTCAGATTTTTCGTTTTTTTTTTTATATTAGTAAAAGTAAAAATGTATTTTTCGAGTGCGGTATTTAGTAATTGAGTTTAGAAACACATTCTCGTTTTCTTTTTATTTTATTTTATTTACTTCTCCCTACTCAATACCTAGCAGCCCTTGTCCGCCATCATCCACTCTTCCTCTACTATCCGCGGGACCGCTGCTGCCATGTCCTATAGGTTATGGTCCTTTGTAATGGAGGAAAAAAAGAAAGGGAAAACTATCACAGATAAAAACTTTTTATTTATTTAATTTTAATTCTCATTGGAAGTGTATATTATAATGTTTAATGAAAAAGAGTGGAAGCCACAAACTATTTTGGCAATAATAGATATCACGTAGGGTTAATTGACCGTCACGTGAGAAAATCTAGCCATTTTCAACGTTTCCAACAGAACCAGAGCACAGACTCATATTCCCTCCATACTCCATTTCCTGCTTGATGGAAAATACGACAATAGGGCAAAAATATATGTTGATAATAATTGTTTTGGTTTCACTTTGAAAAGCAATAATTAGACATCAAAGTGATCCTAACATGAAATTTACAGTAAAGCACGACTGATAACCTGTTACATACCAGTAAATACAACAGAAGAAAGCAACTTTGAGCCTATAAATTCACTTCTATTTTTCTCTTTTGGGTGCATACAGACATTCTCTTCCAACCTTACCGGCCCACATTCAGTTGAGCCAACAATTACTCTCTTTAGTGGCATTCGACCAAGAACAAGATTTTTTCCTTTTTTTTTTTTTTGCCAAAGGGATATGTTCTTGAAACAACTTTCAGACAGTGAAATAGTCAAAACAGTCCTCACTTGATGAAAAGCCAATCAAAGACCTGTTCACGCAAAAAATACAGTCAGCAATCAGCGCAAGTTTATCAAGCTAAAAGTTCTACACAAATACACACTCTGTGGACCACCAAGTTGAGTAATGATAATTAAACTCCAATCACCTGTAGTTTCATAATACATCCAGCTATCCAGAAATTTCAATGGAGTTTCACTTTCACGTAACAATGTCAGGTTTTGGTCTCGTTCAGTTATACTAAATACATTTTTACTGTTCTGATTAGTTTTCAAAAAAGCTGTGCATGCAACTTTTCGGCAGATCATTTGAGATGAAAGAATGCAGAGAAATGAATTTGAATAACCCTTCAACAATTATATATTGCATCCAAGTTTCACGCATAAAGTGAACATAAAGCTAGTAGCTATATAACTATATCAACGAGGTGAATACAAATAAACAAGCGAACGATACAAGGCAGATAGAGTTTTGTGAATTTTTACATTGAACAGAACATTTACCTCAAATTATTTTATTTCGTATTTCTTCCAGCTTTTTCAAAATCTCTCCTGGAGTTCTGTCAAGTTCCTCTGCAATTTTACGCTGCATGTCCATAGGCAATGTAGGGAATTGTTCGCACAAATCGCCATCAATCACATCCTGCAAAATTATGCAAACCATTATTCCATCTGCAACTACAGAAAGCTTACTCGAGAAACACAAAGGAAAATTCAACCGAGCCAAGCAAGAAAAAAAAAGTTCTAGGCTGTGTCCAACCGAAAGAGACTCAATTTCGGACATTTTCAACATGATATGATGACAAAGATCATGAATACTATGCATCACTTTACTCGTAATAATGCTTTCATATAACCTGAAGTGACACAATTTCTATAATTGCATTTAGACAAATAAGACCATGAAAAAGCAGTTTAGATCTTGAAACGAGGCACTCCATATGCAAATACACACCAAGGGGCTAGGTGGCTCTTTGTATCATTCTACTATGCCAGCCTACTGAAACACATCGACAGCCAATAAGTGAGGGACCATCAACATCTGCGTTGGTTACACAGAAAATCAGAACTAGTTCATGCTACTGTTCTTCCACGTAACCCTCAAATTAAACTCAAGGTGCATTTTTGCACAATTAACAAAAACCTTGGGCATATAATAAAATCTGCACTTTTAATGCATTAAACCAAATTATCCATGCACCTCAAAAACAAGCAAACACCATCACTCATCCTGACTGTGAATGAACAATTAACTGCTTTACTACTCACCTTGACTGGGAAGTATGAGGATCTGTACGCCATGTGGTCCCTGCCACACAGAGGCGGGTGCTCTTGCCTCATGTGCATCTCAAGATGAGAGAAAAAGTCCACGTCATCACGGGACGTGAAGGGAAGGAATGCCCCAACGCTACCCATCACAGTCCCATAGATGATGCACTCCCCACCGCCAGGAATTAGAGACGCCTTGTTCAAGCAAGTAACGACATCACCCACGTGGAACTGAACAACCTCCTCCACTTTGTTGGGGGCCCCATTAAGCTTCCCTTGCTCCCACTTTATCTTGCCGCCCGTAGGGTCCTCTTCGATCTCGTCCGAAACGTCTTGAGGTAGCCGCGCAAAGTAGACATTTCCGAACTTGTCGGCACCCGCCATGGTGTCAAAATCCACATGGTGTGCTGCAGTAAGCCATCTTGGGACGGTGTCGTCCGCAAATATGTAGAGCTGGTTTTCATCGCGTCTATACTTGCAGTAATGGAACGACTGCCATTTTTTTTTAAAAAAAAAAAGAAAGAAAGAAAGAAAGTGTAAGTAAATCTGTGAATATGATAATTGCAAAAAACAGATGGCATCACTACGGAAAAACTAAAAATGAACTCATAAAAAAAAATTGTCGATGAAGATTATATATAATAAACAAACCTGATTAAAAGACAGCACCATATTTTATTACATGTCAGGATAACATTTTCTCACTCATACTATTTAATTGAAGAGTAGGGTTAGAACTTAGAAGTTATGTTTGGTAATTGGGCTGTTATTATGTATAAGTGTGGGTTGGGCACCCTCTCCCTTTGAGCTAGCTTTTGAGTTTACCAGCACAAAGGTTTGTTTGATTGGAGGCAATGTTAGGTTTTGACCCAGCCTGGGCCGGTTATATTTTTTCCCCACATCAATTAGTTACAGGAATAAAAACGCAAGTACAAGAGTTCATTCCTACAGTCTATTAATCATAATGAGGAATAAAAAAATGAAAAATAACCAATAGCATACATAAATAAGTTAGGTGGTCAAAGAACATACCTCTTGCATATCACCAACATAAATCCGATCACGATAAGTGTGAATGGACGTGATTGTATTGGGAAACAACTTATTTTCACACTTCCTGAGCAATCTCCTTTTCCCCAAATCATACAACCGAAGCAGAGGTCCTATCCCAGCTAACAATCTCCCATGGAATTGGCACAATGCGAGGGGAACACCTTCCACTTGTGTCTTGTGAAGAAGTTCAAGGACCTTCCCATCTTCCTTAAATCTATATATATGAATAAAACCAGCGTCAAAAGACCTTTTGGGCCAGAACCTGAGGCCCTTTGCTGTGCCCACCGCTAGAAGAGTCCCATACTCCTTATCATGGAAATTCACAGTGCACATGCTAAACGCGGCTTCATTATCCTGAAGCTCCAGTAAACAAGTCGTTTGCGTTGTCCTTGGATCAAGAACTCTGATGCACGAAACCCACTTCCCAGTCTCTGCCTTTGGATAACCATACTGCTCATCAGAAAGTGGATCAGAACTCTCCTCATCCTCACCATTCTCCATCTGCTCAGTGTTTCCATTTTCTCCCATTCCGGCTGCCTCAAGCGACTCCTTTTTTGCAGCTTCACGTTCTTCTGCAGTGAATGCTCCCTGATCACTCTCGATTATTACCAACAACTTCCTCTTGGGCTGAAGTACAAACTTTCTTGGGGTATACCTCAAAGGTATGGCGGTCTCATTGAATGATTCTCCAAGTCTCTCGATGGTGAAAACTCTCAGAGCATCACCGGCAACAGCAACAACACCTTCCGCACACTGATCGGACGAAAATGAAGCAGCAAATTCGAGGGTCTCGTATGACAAAGGGGTCAGGAGGAAGTGTCCCTGATGTATATAACCGAGCCAAGGTCTACTCGACAAGCAAAGCATGGCCCGCCGTCCTCTCACGACAATGGAGAATAGTTTCGGTGCTCTGAGTCCTAAAAATCGAGAGCGGGCATCCGAAAGCTGGCCGGTCACCATATCCACCACTGTCCTGAACAGGACTCCATTTTGTAGACCTGCATTTAGAAAGAGGCTAGCAGGGTGATCAGCTCCATCCTCCCCACCAACAGAAGCCTGAACCTCAAGAAACAGAAGAGACTCTGGAGGAGATGAAACGCTCTGCAAACTCAGGACCTGCATACAATCATCAGGATCCAAGGATAAGATGCGGATGGTATTGTCAAAAGATCCAACAGCAAGGAACCGTGATCTCTGCCTTCCCTCAGGAACAGGAGCAATATCCAAACAGGCAACATCTCCCGACATTTCGTGCTTCTCCACCTCCATGAGCTGCCCAGTCATATCAACTTCGAAGTATATAAGTTCCCCTCCACTCAGGGCAATGACAACCTGCAGTCTATTAGATCCGACCTTGACAATGGTTCTCTTCCCAGGAGTTCTCCACTCGTTAATACGACCATCTTCTCTGATATGCCTAATGCCGCTTGGGTGGACTTGCATAAGAGAGTCGTCCCCAATCAAGGAAACAGCAAGGGAAGGTGTCGTGTCAAGAAATCCACTGTCGCTAACTTCTTCAACAGTCTCACCAATGGAAAGCACGAGAGTAGCATTTGCGAAAGAAACAACAATGTAAGCATCAAATTCGTCATTGACATTTTTTTTTACAGTCCACACGGCACTTGGAATACCAGGTAGCTGAGACACGGCCATCTCACTAATAGCCAAACCTGGCCTCAATATCCGAAGAGATGAACGAGGACCCCGCCCACAAAGTGAGAATACCTGAGGGGTTTCCTCCTCAAATAGGTTAAAAACTTTCATGTCCATAATCGGCATCAAGCTATCAACTTGGTCAATCCTAACCAGATTCTTCAGCTTCCTTGGCTGGAAGAAAACAGGTTGAAAACCTTCTTCAGTTTCCATAAGTGTAGCTGATGAGGCCTCTACATCGGGTTCATCTCCTATAGACTTAAATTGATACAAAGCATGGTTCCCAAACTCCGATGCAGCAAACAGGAACCCTGACTTCAAGACACACAATGAAGATGTCACAGGAATAGTATCAAAATATTTAATCTTCAGCTCTTTCACTATTTCCTTATCATGATCCAAGGTCACTCTAAAGATGTCCCCATATTCAGTCTGCAAAAGGAAGAAAAACATGTTTTTCTGCTTGTGCATAACAGCCGAGACAATCAAGACCCCACGCTCAGCAGGCAAGTCTTCACGCCTCGGGATAACAGCCCTCAAATCTGGATGCCCTTGATTCTTGTATATGACAGAATTTTCCGCACACACAAGTACACCACTCGGCCCATCCCCGCCACCTGGCACAGTCACGAGCATATTAGCACCATTTTCAACTTGCTCAGACCATTTCCTCGAAACATGGTTAAGACCCAGATCCAATTCATAAAAGGTCAAATACTTCTGTGCCTCGTTGGTGGCCTGGCCTGTTGGATCCTGATCAGCCTCGGAATAATCCAACTCTATAGCTGCAAATATCGGGTTATCAAAACCGCAATCCACCCCACAGATCGAATAAACTATAGTGTGGCTCTTATGAGCCTCTAGAGGCGACGAGATAGTCAACCTAGCTGCGGTATCCCTGTTCAGGACATAAACAAGCTTCTGCTTCTCGCAAGCACCGACCATCACAGCTCTACCCTTGGGGTCCACAGCCAAGTACTGGCCGGGGACAATCCTACGGCATCCAGACTTCCCGAAAGTTTCCTGATGAATTTTCTCGAAAATATTCTTTTCCTTGTTGTATTCGAGGATAACAATACGCCCGGAATCTGAGCCGACAACTATGTAATCTTTCTGCGCGCCGGTCAGGCGAAATTGAGCTAAAGAGCGGATAGCTCCGAATATTTCTACTGACAGCAGAGATTGGAGCTTACCATTCTCATCGGGACGGAGGAGGTCGAGGACTTTGCCACGCGCCACGACGATCTCTTGGAGCTTTCCACCGGAAAAGTTGCCGTTGATGGCGCAAAGTATGCCGGTGGCCTGTTGAAGGGTAAGGCTGTACAAGTACATGGTTATGGAGAAAGAGCTGAGCGTCGAAAGTGATACTGATGAAGAAAGTGCAGTGCAGTAAAAACCCTAGGATTTGGATATGGATAAATTCAAAGAAATTTTTTGGAAAATGATGAAAATAAAAAGATACAATACTTCCACAAGTGTTGTCAACCTAGTTGTACATTAAGTTAGCAATGTAGCATTTTTTTAATTTTTAAAGATTTGTATATTTAGGATAACCGCCAAGAACCGGACTGAAATATGGTTCGGCTCTAACCCGCTCTAGTTCTAATTCTTGGTTTTATTTATTACTAGTACATTACCCGTGTACAACATGGATGTCCAGTTCAGAAATATATAATAAAAGTTATTACTAAAATAAATTTTTTATTTAAAATTTTGATGGATTTGTTGACTGCATGTTTTGATTTGCCAAAAAGCAAGAGCTCGTACTTGTCAAAACTAAACTCATTTACTATTTATCGTCCCCCTATTACATACACCGTCCCCCTTTTACTATTTTGACCTTAACCCTTTTCTCTCTCTATCTCTCTAAACTCTCTATCTCGAACTTTCAACGAGCGATTCGAGCACCGACAAAAATTCAAAAAAATATCGCAAAAATCCTACGGCCTCCGCATAGCATTTTTTTCTAGCAAGGTATTTTTTTTACGTGCTAAAATAAATTTTAAAATTCTTTTTTTTTTTTATGAATCTGCCGCTGCGTCAGGAGGCGGAGCCATCCATTCGTCGGTTCTGGAGGACGAAAAAGGCGTCCAGCCCCGCCGGATGCAGGGCTTCTCAATCGATCGCGATCGGCGGCCAGACGCTGGAAAAAGGGCGCACGATCGGGGACCGAACGGACCAAACCGGACCGGCCCCGCCGGCCAGACACTTTTTTAATTTTTTTTATAATAATGATTATAAATTTAAATACTTATAATAAATAATAATTATTATTATTATTATAATAATTATAAATTAAAAATAATTATAATAATTATAATAACAATTATATTATAATAATAATTATAATAATAATTATAAATTACAATAATATTAATTATAATAATAATTATAAATTATAATAATTAAACTTGTAAATTAAAATAAAAATTAATTATAATCTATTTTAATTGTTATTACAATAATTATTACATATGAAAAAATTACTAATTATATTTTTGATTCAGGGTGTTAGCAGACCTGGACAATCTTCTGCTAAAGACGACGACGAGGCGTTCGATGAGTATTATGATGGTTCTGGCACCCGACACACTAGAAGTCGGGGTGTCAATGCATCCGTTCGTCGGGAGAGGGACAGGAAGGCGATGATCGATGAGGCTCGGAGGCTACAGACTGATCTGCCTAGCCAGAGTTCGAGACCCCCCGCACCAATACGAGATCATCCGCATGGATATCATTTTGAGGGACAACCAGACAGTTCGCGACTCCCCGGAGTCGTACCGTAAGACGAGCATGGATATTATTATCCTGGTCAGGCAGGCAGTTCGATGCCCCCGGCACCAGGTGTTAGTGTTATATACTGAAAGCTTGGTTTTGCATGTTATTACACATTTATCCTTTATGAATGAGAATCATGTTAGATTAAACAAGTTCTACGTTCTGTTGTTCTGCACTTAAATAGGGTGGGTCGTCATCGGGCGAACCGAAGATCACTCTATCAGTCACTTGCGAACAAGAATAGTTGTTCACAACCTAGATGGACATGAATACCCCATCCGAACGATTGTAGTGTCAACTGTACAGTTTGTCTTAACTGATTAGTTGCACTAGTACATTTATGTATTGAACAGGATCCCAGAGAGAAGAAGTTCATTTTATACTGATCGTCGTAAACGAACTAGGCCTCGTTTAATTACTGCATTCTCTTAACCCGTAAGATATTAAACAGGCAGATATATATAATATATATTACTTTGATTTAGATGGCTGAGGTTCAATTCGCTGGATTAATATTCCTACTGTTTTTGGTAATATTATTATATATAGGATGTGCTGTTAGGATATTTACGGTCACCATGTGCGTTAGTTTGATGATGTCCCCGGAGTGAGTTCATGAAGGATTGTTATGTTAAACCCTGCAGGTGGATTAAGTTCCGGCATAATAAGAATGTGATGAACGAGTGCTAGCTTCGGTGAAATAATAATAAATTAATTAATTCTTGATTGTCAGTAATCGAATTAATTAATGGACATTATATCTTAAACGTGGAGAAGTAAATCGAGTAATTATTATTGGAGTCTCAAATGTAATTTGGGCTAGGAAGAGGGAGTACAATAATATAATGTTGGTGGTCCATTAATATTATTTAATTAATTAGAAGAGTGGGCTTGGCCCACAGTTAGTCTAATTAATTAAGGAGCTCTTTTCCTAATCTCCTAAGGGTCCCTACTGTAGCTCTATATATACATCATTAAACTCATGAGAAGAGAAGAGATATGTAATATACAAACACACGTCCCTACTCTCTCTCTCTCTAGATCTCATTCGAGCTTTATCTTCTTCTTGTTGCTCCACTGGTACAAGTAGAAGAAGGGTGTATGAGTAATACAGTAGAAAATCTGTAGGTAAACCGAGACGAAATATATTTTGACCTACATAACTAACTGGAAGTCCGATTGAGACGTACAGCATACCCAGACGACCGTCTCGATGAGAGCTTTCCATCGCCGTCGAGATTGCCGGAATCTGACGTGATACGCGCCCTCACGCGCCGCCGGAAGCTCCCAGGATGCAAAGTTTCGTTTTGATCTGTTTGCATCCGTTTGATCCGATTTTGATCTGATCTTGTTCGTGCAACCCAAGACGTGATTTGCGGTCAACCGTTCGTGGTCAACCAGATCTACATAAATTTTAAGCCGTAAGTTCTCTACGTCAAACCTTTAGATCCGCTGTGCATAGATTTACGTTTGCTATTGAATTCGTGACTTGTACATAACGAGATCCTCACAGATCCCAACACCAGGACCGTACGATCAGCGGGGATATTATTTTCCCCACCACGCAGGGAATTCGATACCCCGCGCACGCGCATCATTACCTTACGGTCAGCAGGGATATCCTGATGAATAGTACGGCGAGAAGAAGCAGGGTTTAAAGGAGTCTGACGAGGACGACTCTTCACATGATCAGGACCACCCGCATCCCCCCCCAGAGGAAGCTCCTACCACAACATTTTGCCCGACTCGCACATCCTACGAGTCCTAGTCAGCCTGTCCCTCCTGTACAGGTTGTTCGTCCTACACAGGCTGCTCCTCAACGACTGGCTGGGGGGCGTTTTGGTAGCGGTGCATCCTCATCAGGTAAATAATTTACGAACTTATTGTTGTTTAACATTAAATATTTTGACTTAATAATAACAAATTATCGGTACTCTTAGAAAAGTACTATCGGCCTGCTCCTCAACTACAGTATAATTATTTTGTAATTTAGAGGGACCATACAATTAATTGGTTAAAAAAGTATTATAATTATTTTTATTATTGTTATAATGAATTAGTAGTAATATTACTGTTGTCGTATGAATTTGTAACAACATATGGTGTTCAGAATATTGTTTGAATTTTCTGTGTATATGAATTTCTGTTGAATTTTTCTGTATTTTGTGTATAAGCGAAAAGAATGAAGAATCTGCCTCCTCCCCCTTTCTCCTTTCAGATGAGGGAGAATATATATTTGCGCCGCCTCTTTTTTTTCTTCAGGCCAAGGAAAACGGAAAAAGTAAAAAATCCCCTTTAAGCCCGTTCACATATACATTTTTCAGGACTTTTACATCTAATGGGCTTTGGCGTCTAATGGGCCCTTATATGCTGAGCCTTTATAATATTTTACTAAGACAAATGTAATAAATCAAATGTGACCGCGTAGGGCCCAATAAATAAATAATGACTTCGGTCGATATTTGTCTTGTCGGCAATTATTGTGTCTGTCGGGGCGGCTTCTTTATGGTATCCGGGTCGGGCTGATGTTGACTTCTGCTTGGCTCAAATACTGACAATCTTGACTTTTGGAGACTTGTCTAATATTAATAAAATAAATCGAATAATCTGCTATTTTATATTGATTTAATATATATATATCCACGTGTAGCATTTTCATAAGCGAGGCCAAAATTTGATGTCAACAATTACATAATAAATTAGTTTAAAATTTTCATTATATTTTATTAATGTAAAATGTAACGTTTCTACATTAATTGAAAAAAAAAGAGCGGGAAACTTATGAAATATATTTTATTAAATTTGTTTTATTTACTGCATCTGCCAGCAAGTGTATGTATACATATATGTTATATTGTAATGCAGGTACTAGCAAACGAGCTAGGACCGATGATGATGCACCCTGGATCATTAAAGGACCAATGGCCGGTGGGCCCATTGATGGGAGTGTTATCTATAGCTTTCTAGGGCTCGTCGCCTACCGCATGTGGACTGGACAATTCAGGGGGCTGCTGAAATTCCATAACAGGCTGAGAGCGGTCGAGAATTTGAGGGATTAGCGTGATGAGATGTCTCCCGATGCAAAAGCTCTGATCGGAGACACCGGGCTGTCACATCTGGTGGACTCCATGCACAGCCACTTGGACACTCTACTACTTTCTGCGTTTGTGGAGCGATGGCAGCCGGATACTAACTCGTTTCACCTGCTTTTTGGTGAAATGAGCATCACACTGCACGACGTCCGGGCCATTTTGGGCGTTCCTGTGGAGGGAGTCGTGGTCGTTGAGGACCCGGATTCAGACGCCTGGCATGGGTTTGCATGACGATACTTACGGTCACCAAGGCTCAACTCATGAGTACGTTCTGGCAGCGTGGTTCGCTGACCAAAGCCTCCATTGTGGGGGCATTCAAGGGGAAAGGCCGACCGGCTAAGGATGAGGCGGGTGCCTGGATGTGGGAGATGCTGGCTACCACCTTGATCGTCAACAAGAGTGGTAGTAGAGTGACCCCCAAGCTCCTGCACGAGGTGCTCGACGGCTTGTATATAATTGGGGATTACTCATGGGGATCGGCTACGTTGGCATACTTGTACAGACAGCTAGGTATTGCCAGCCGAGGGGACTCCAGTGGACTGTCCGGCTGCTTGACTCTTCTGCAGT